TGCTGAGTCACCAGGGGTTTATTTCCCCTCACGTCTCGACAGCACCGGTGGATCAGCTGGAGTTTGCTCTCCCTGCACAATTTTGTTGATTTTGCTTCTTTACTGAAACTTAATTTTTCATTTATTGCTTCATTATTAAAGGAGCTGTGTGGTTTCCTGTTGTACCAGCTTTTCCAGTGTTTGGAATTCAAAATTCCAATTTTAGAGACCTTGCTTGACGCCTTTCTTAGGAGAATAGAGGTGTAGAGTTTTTTAAACATTTTTGTGTATTTCTTTGCTTATTTGTTGGACATTTTAGAGCTCTTGAAAAGCTCGCTCTCTTTTAGATATATTGAGATAAATGTCCAGAATAATTTTTAAATATTACAGCTTTGACACGTCCCCTGAATATAAATCTTCCCTCCCAAATTCTGAGCAGGGAAACCACAGAAGACTTGGATTTTCTGTGTATTACTGTTTTTTAAGATGAGTTTTCCACTGCAGGGCATAATGAAAAGGGCGTGGGGAAGGATCATCTTCATTCTAGAGCAGGGATAATTTTTAGCAAATGAGGAGGGGAATAATTAATGCAAACCAGAAAGGAATAACTGGTGAAAGCCAATCCGATGGGAGGCTGGGTGCTGGCTGCTCAGTCAGCAGCCTCCATCAGGTACAAGTGTGACTGGTTTCTGCTGGGTTTAACTGGTTTAAATGGTGCTGGCCAGCACGGCTGGGTGGGTGAGAGCTGGTGTCTGTCCTAGAGCAGGACACTGAGATCAAGGTACAAACCTCCCAGTCCTCCTGGTGGGTGCAGCAGCCGAGTCCAGTGACCTCCTACCCCCGTGTGGCTTCAGGGGTGTGTCCCAGAGCATCATCCCCTTGTGTCTGTGCTCCCCTGAGGAATTCTGACTCTTAAAACACACACAAAATACCAAGTAAAACACTGAGTGTTCTCTGAGGGTGATGTGGTTGTGTGTACTTGATGAGCCTTCTGACATCCTGCATTCTTTGTGAGCAACATCCTTCTCCGAAATAACAAGCTAACTATAGTTTCAATATCCAATATCCTTCTCTGACAGATGTTTTCTGGCACATGTCTTCCTGTGTTAGTGAATCCTCCCTCAAGAAGCAACAGGACACCTGCAGGAAGTGAATCAAGACTCTGGAGCAGAAGAAAAAAATAATCACCTGCTTTAAAACCAATAAATAAATAAAAGTACTGTTGGGAAAAAGACAAAAAAAAAAAAAAAAGAGAGAGAGAAGCTTTTCTTTTTATTTGTTTCTAGGTGTAAAATTTTAATAATTAATGCAGCACCCTGTAATCATGGAATCATTAGTGGCTGACGTTTGACAGAGCTGTTGCAGTCGAGTCCGTGCCGTGCTCATAACGCCGTGTGTCGATATTTCCCCCTCGTGGTTTCCTAGCCCGAGCCCCGGCCCCGGAGCCAGCAGGGGCCACACTTGCAGC